CTTTTTTTTCTTGGCTCTGCCGTGTAGCTTGCAGGATCTTCGTTTCCAAACCAGCGATTGACCCCGGGCCCAGGCAGTGAAAGCATCGAGTCGTAACCACTGGACAGTCAGGTAAGTTCCTAAAGTAACTTTTCTTATCTGGTTTGATAGGCACATATCATATGCTATGCCAGGTGCGATGCTAAGCATTTAATATATATTATTTAATTCTCACAACAAACCTTAAAAACAAGAATTATCTCTGTTTATAAATGAGGATTGGAACCTACATCATGTAATCAGTATTACTGGTCTTAATGACTATTCTATTCTGCTTCTCACAATCAGTTACATTAAGGAGATCATGCTGTCCATATTTTCCACATGCTTCCCTCCCTGCTTGGAGCAATTTGTCCTCTATGGCTCAGTCTTCCTTCTCCTGCAGGAAGGACTTAGGGGGTTCTGTCTCATGCTCCTGTAATAGTTTTTACTTTCATCCATTCACACATGTTTCTCCCCATTAGACTAAAAGATTCTAAAGGGCATAGTTCACATCTCACTCATTGTTGAATTCCCATAGCCCAGAAGAGTGCCAGATGAGTAACAGGTGTTCCATAAATGTTTGTTGAATGACTGAGTGACTGTTGAAGACTTATGGAAATGTAAAGGGTAAACAAAACACAGTAATTACTTTTTTGTTTTCCTCCTCATTTTGTACACGTGTTAGCTATTAATTATGAAGGCTTACTATGGAACTTTCTATGTGTTTAGCAGAAAAGAGACAAGTAAGAGAGAGAGCAGACATTGCTCTGTTGTTGGAGAAATAAATCCTCACTGTTACTTTATCATATGGGTTCTGATTACGGTTCTGAGAAGTGCAGGGATACAAGGGGGTGACTGGGACAGCCCTCATCTCTCCAACTGTCTCATGCTGATGTGACTCTGTGATGGGCCCTCATGTTCCCCAGACACGGCAGATTCTGACCCCAGAAGTGGCTCCCCAGCCAAGACAGCAGGGCAGAAAGACCAGGGAGGTCCGTCAGAGACAGAGAGAGTCCTTAGATCCAACCACAGTGGAAACCTTGACGTTGATGAGATGATTCACTTGAGGACAGAGTGAGCTGCTTTTATTAACAGGGTTACTGGAAAGCCAAGTGCACATCTCAGTTTATGCAAGCACTCTACTTAAGGAATTGAGGGTTTAATTCCAATAATACAGAGGGAAAAAATGAGTAGAAAACCACTGCCCGATTCCCTTCTGCTTGGAAACTAGTAAGACTCCTCTGAAGATCTGCAGGTTTATCCTTTAATCAGGAGGAAAGGGGACCCCTTGAAGATGCCCACGGGGGTGTAGGGGAGTGGAAAGGGAAAGAGATGTGGGAACTGGCACTTGGGAATGCCTTTTCTGTGGGGTTTGGAAGGACACCCCAAGGGAAAAGAGGGACCACACTGTTTGCTGTCTTTTTCCTTTAGGATCTGAGCAAACCACACAACGCTTAAAAGATGTTACAGTTTTGTTTGCTCATTGCTTACAGAGAAGGACAGGTATTTTAAACTATGTGATAAAGGTAATCAGACAGGGCTATTTTTAAAAACATGGTCTTTGCAAAGTGAGGTTGCCATGGGAATTCCTTACAGTTGTTCAAAGCCAGGGTAATTACTTGAGAAAATCTTGCCTAACATGTGCTTTTGTGTTTCCACGTTGCTTAATCAAACAACTCCACCTCCACCCCACCTGGCTTTTGTTGTCAGGTTTTCCCCTTAACTTGTGATGTCCAGGTTCCTGGGGACTCAGTGTTTTCCTTGGCAAGAGAAAAGTGAGTCCCTCTAGTATAGAGGGTGTCAGAAGTTTCTTCCTGACAGGTAGTCGTTAAGAGAAAACTTTTATTTTATTGCTCCTTTGTTCACATTATGAGAATCACCAAAAGCCAGCCTCTCTTTTTCTTTTGATTTCTTACTACTCTTTGGGGAAAACAGCCTCTGTTTGCAGGGGGCCAGGAGAGTTTCTTCACGCAGAGTGAAGGACCTTGCTGTCCACTTGATAATGACTCGTATTTCCAAAGGCAACTGGGATGTAATAGAAATTTGCAAGTGCTTCCCGAAAAATACTTTATCAGGGGAGCTAACGGTGGTGTGGTCTCTGTTCAGGATTTTTCTCGTGTGTTTGTGTATTTTTGTTTTTAAGTGGCTTTGGGGTTTCTTAAGAAAAATGAAAAAGGCTTGCCATATTTAAAAATACAGATACCAGACTGCTTTCTCCTCGATTCCTACTTCCCTTAAATCCTTACCACTGAAATTCATTGAGTGGAATTCTCTGTTTTGGGTTTCCCTGGCCCAAAGCCCTCAAGGATGACAGATCATTAGTATTTATAAAGAACGCCAGGAGCTCAAGCTGGAAACGGGATGGTGAAAGGAACTGTTAAGTCTACTTTCCTAGCAGCCTGAGGAAAGTCAAAGCTTTAAGAATGGGTGGCAGCATGGTAAGTCTTTTTTGCTGCTGCCCCAACAGGGTAGCTACTGCTGAGATGAAGAGAAACTATGTTCCCTATGTGCCCCTTTCCAGATGCTGAAGGCTGTAAAAAGATAAACAATATTGTTCTAACTGTAGTTTATCTACATATGGCCAATGAGCCTGACAGGGGATGAAGGGCAACTTAACCATGGCCGATCACCGTCCTTGTATAAGACCATGTATTGTGTGTTTGAATCAACTGACTTTATAGATGGGGGACGGCCCACAGTCTCCAAGAAGTTCTAGTCCCTTTAGAGCTGAGGGACTTGGATCCCGCCCCCAGGCGGGTTCATTATATTTTAGGGGATTATGAGAGAGACAAGTGTAAGATTACAGAATAAAGCTATAATTGTTATCTTACTTTCAGTTAGTTAAAAATAACTGTTAAATGAGAATATAAAAAGAAGCCACAAACATAGAAGGATGAAAAGTCCCCTTAGACACACACCCCCCATCCCACTCACCTGCTAAGAACCTTTTTATTTATTTTTTCTCACCAATTTCAAAATATTCTGTTCAGGAAATGTAAGAGACATCATCTTTTCCCTTTTAGAGAGAAAATTAAATTTCACAGACTAAGATTTTAATTTTGTATTTCCAGTGGGATATCATTACTCAGGATTTAAAAAAACAAGTTGTGGATTTGCCGTGTTGGGCATCCATGATATCGACTCTTGGCACTCTTCCTGGAGAGGGCTGGGTGCAACCTGAACCCAGACTGGGGCTTCACTGCACACCCTCTGGCTTAAAGTTCTGCCTTTGAAATAAATTTAGAAAATAAGCCATCTGTGTTCTCATGTGTAAAATGCAATTTCAGAATGATTGTCTGAAACCAGGCCATTATCCTCCCACATGCTTATCCACTAACATAGAAACTTTTTGCTTCTATGCCTTGTGCACGGTATTGCACAAACATAACTATGGGGAAGGGACATGACAAGTTTAGTGACAATTCTTTTAGAAGAGTACAGTCTTCTGAAAGTCTTTAAGGAGAGGTAACAGTATTGCGTGCGTGTGCCCCTCTCCACACACATTTCATGATTTTTTCACTCAAACTTTAAAAGCAAAGGATGATCTCAGTTGAAATCAAATTAGTGGCCTGAAAGATTAAGCAGAACAAATATTTCAAAACACAGAAGAAAAAGAGAGATAACAATCATAAGAGAAAAGTAGGGGGAAAAAAGGAGCAGATGGAAAAGTAATAATTGAACAAATAATAAATGAAAATTTCTTATATTCTTAGTTGGCAAACTGAAAAGACTCCCCAGTTTGGGCAGTTCTGATGATAAAAGACATACAAAGTATATCCTGGTAAAGTCTTTGCACTCCAAGGAGATGTAGAAAGTCTTACAAGCTTCCCAAGAGAAACCAGAAAACCAACCAACTACCAAAGAAAAACCAAATTACTTTCACATGGAAAAAAAAAATGACATTGGCATCAGACTTGTCATCTACAATCTTGGAAGCTCTAAAACAGAGGAATAACATCTGTAGATAACTGAAAGAAAAGAAATAAATGAAAATTCTTGAGTGAGAAGAGACACACTACAAAGGAAATCATTATCATCATAATTGAGAAGAAAATCACTTAACTACAGCAGAGAAACAAGGAATCGGGGAGTGATAAAGGGCAGAAGTTCATTTCATTGGGGAGGAGATGGGAGAAAAGGAGGAGGAGAGGAATAAGTAAAGGTCCTTTGCAAGGGTAATCTTTGGAGAATGGGGAGAAACAGAATCTTGGAGAATGAAGGAGCTGCTATTTTATTTTCACATGATAATAGAGAAATATGTATTTGATGATAAGCCATAGAAAAAAGGTGGCAACAATTTAAAGGATTAAAATAGAAACTAGGACTTTCAAAGAGAAATACTCGCAAGTGAATTAGATGCTTTTGCAAACAAACTCTAATGTGTAATCTCTTTCACAAACTCTGCTATTGATCTTTCATTTTCTAACTGTGGAATCTGGGAAAAAAAAATTCCCTATCTACTTTTCAAATGATAAAGACATAGGTAAATCAGAACATGAATAAGATAATGTGCCTAGAGATAATTCCTGCCACAGGCCTTAGTAAACTCAATAAATGACAGTTATTTGGACTAATTTTAGAGAAACTTGGCTCTGGTTAGTCTCCCTGGCATAATAACTGGAATAAGTAAGGTCTCCTGCAGAAAGTAATGTACAGGCCACCATTAAACCTGGGCTGAACTTGAGAGCTCAGAGCCCTTCCTTCTGCACTTGAGAAAATGCAGGTTTGGGGAGGCTTTTGATCTACTGGAAGTCACCTGGCTGCCACATGGCAGGGCTCAAAAGCTAACCTGTAGAAATGCAAATTTTAAATTAACAAATTTACAAATGTTAGGTTTAGTAATTTCTCCAACCACTAAAATTATTTTTTTCATTATTCTCCTGAGACATTAGATTTCAGGACCCCACCCAGTTACGCGGTTCTTTTCTCTAACACACAGGCTGAAGAAAAATCTGGTTATTTGAGACAGTGATTCTTACTTTTTGGTCAATGTACTTGTCCTCAATCGCAGACCGTTTGGAGTGATCACAGGATGAGGAAGAGGTAGATGGAAGGCTTCGTAAGAGGCAGCAGGTGTCCTGTTGCTGGCGATCAATAAACTGCTTCATGAAACTTTCCCTTTGCAAAAGAAGTACACATTATGTCAAGCATTATTAATGAAATGGAGCAAGGGATGGCATTTTGCAATGATGCATTTGCCCAAGCTAAGATAAAGCAGGGACAAAAGTTCACAGAAAATAGGACATGTCACACCAAGAGGTGTTTAGATTTAACTACACATATAATTTGCAAAATGGTGAATTCAGAGAAAAATTCCTGAATCTTCAGTTATTCCTGTTTTAAAAAACTCACGTCCCTGAAATTACTTTTAAGCAACAATATTCAGTAATAAATGGTATCTTTTGACTCCTATTGTGGTAATAAGATACTTTTTTTCCCCTCTAAGACTTGGAGGAATTAGTTCATCTCTCTGAACTTTCATTTATCATAAGAATCTTTTTAGAGATAATTTTACATTTAAAGACTCAAAATAACTCATAAGAAACTTACTTCATCTGATCTTTAAAGCATGGGGAGAATTCAGATAACATCTTTCCAATAATCACTAATCTTGAATCTAATTTACGGCTCTTTTATATATGTCATATTTTTCACATTAAAAAATTTTTTTAATCAGAATTGCAAATGTATTTTGATTTGAATTTTAAATATTATGGCACCACATCCAGTCTCATGCTTTTATAACCTCCCCATAGAATTGTTTTAAAACTAGTTACATAAAAAATGTCATTTTTGATATTATTCTGGTTCTACTTGTAATTTTTGAGCTATAACTGGAAGAATTTCCTTTAATTATTAAAAATAAGCATTTTGAAGCATCTTCAATGCAATTGTTTAACTTGAGGGCAAAGTGGTAGAAAATCATATTAGTATGAGTGCAAAATGCCATGGTTCTTCTTTTAAAAAATGGAAGACAAATTATATTGCACCCAGACGTGGCATTCTAAACAAACGCTGTCACAGTAGTCTGGAAACCTGGCCAGTGGCAGTTTCTCCATTTCCTTGAAAATAAAAGGGCCTCAGAGGCAATTTTATCCTTACATGGCTGAGGGTCAGAGGCCAATGTCTACGTGCATCTTTGTAAGCTGGACCACCTGTGCCAGTTACCTGTGAAGTCAAATCCCCGAGGGGCCATCTCAGGGCGAAGCAGCGGTCAGCAGCCTTCTTGCCCAGGCTAACACACTTGACTCTGCTCTGGATGTATTGCTTAAAGGGGTCAACGGTTTTAAAACAGAGGAAGACAGAGTAGCAGTATGGATAATAACTTCAAAATAGAAAGACACCATACCCACATGAGTTTGAAAGGGCTGAATCAGATTTAAGATGAATGTTTTACGGTGTATTTGAGATATACAATTAAAGAAATACTTTAATACCTGATTTTAGGAACTGTAAAATCTGAAGGAAGCTTTGAGATTTTCACCATTTGCGGTCTGTTTGGAAATTTTTCAAAGATTCGAAGTCGCAAAGGGAGCTTTTCTTTGGTGTCTGCGTTTGCTTCACTTTGCTTTAACTAAAGAAAAGAATAGAAAGAAGGGGGGAATCTTTAGTAATATAAGTCACAGTCTATCAGAATTTTTGAATCAAAGGAACAATGAGTTATTACATGAAGAAACGGTAGATGGCAGTAAAGCCCTACCAAGTATATCTTGGTCTCCTGCCTTACTCTGAGTGTTCAAAGTCTGAGCACAGGGAAAACAAAAAGAAAACTAAACAAAAAACTAAACCAGAAAAAAAAAATTAGAAGAAAAATGTATGTTATTTTATTCCCAAACATAATCCCCTTTCCATAGGAAACATAATTTTTTTTATCGTTGACTGACTTATTATCACTAACATATTTAAACACCAAAGTGTTTTATAAATGTGTGTGTTAGAATTAGAAATCAAAAGAATGAAAAAAGAAATGAAAATCCTAAGTGGTGATATTTGAAAGGGGGAAAATGTCAAAGAAATTGATCATTTAGCCTAGCAGATTCATGAAAGAATAGCTCAAATAGAAACACCACATTTGGTAAAGCAAAAGTTCTCTATGTAGTTGTAAAGATGCTTGGGAATTATTCAATTACGTGCCATGAAATATCTGGGAATTGACAAGCAAATGGTTTTATTATTTATTTGTTTATTTATTTCTATAAGTTTGTTTTTATATTTTTACAGTTTAGGTTTCACAGAAGCTGAGGCTTTATATCACAAATGCTGAGCTAAGAGGTCAAGGAGTACTTTAGTTCAGGCAGTCTTTCTTTGTGGGGTTATGGAAGCACGTTTCAAAAGGTACCAGCTTCTTACCCCCTATGGGGTATACGTTTTTTTTTTTTTTTTTTGAAAAATATTGGATATATATTTCTTGATTTATAAAAAGTGTTCACAAACTAATTTTGGAAAAGACAAATTCACAAAATTATACAACTGCTTCAAAATTAATGAAAAGATGCTCAAACACAAATACTTATAGGTACTATAAACACACAAATAAAATTATTACTTTTGCATATCAGACTATCAAAAGTTAAAAAATGTGAGGTTATGGGGAAATGGGAATTTTTATTAATATAAAATGGTACAACTTTTTCAGAAGGCAATGTGATAATATGCTTTAAAATGTTAAAGATGTGTGTACTTTGATCCAGCAATATCATTTTTGAGACTTTATCTTAAGGAAATATTTGAACAAACGGGCAAAGACATAAATACATGGCAGGGACTTCACTGGCAGTCCAGTGGTTAAGACTTTGCCTTCCAAAGCAGGCGGTATGGGTTCGATCCTTGGTCAGGGAGCTAAGATCCCACATGTCTCGTGGCCAAAAAACCAAAACATAAAAACAAAAGCAATATTGTAACAAATTCAATAAAGACTTTAAAAATGGTCCACATAAAAAAAATCTTAAAAAAAAAAAGTACATGGCAGTTCAATGCTACTCTGTCAGTAATATTAAAAAAATTAGAAATAAACTAATAAACTAAACACTTATCCCCAGTAAGGACTGGCAAAATAAATTATGGTACATTCATGCAAAAAGACTCTATGAAGCTCTTATAATGGATGACATAGATCTATAAATCTTAAATCTTATAAATCTTATAATCTGTGTGTATGTATATGTGTCCTTAAAAAGTAGATAATATAAAAGAGTACATATTATGAGACCTCATCATTTATATATAACAAATCTGGAAGGATATACTCCAACTGGTAATAGTGGTTATTTCTAGGGGTAAAGAAGCAGAATTATGAAATTAGTTTTCTCTGGTTTGCTCAAATTACTTAAAATTAACATATATTAGCATATATTATGAGAAAACATATTAAAGATATTTCCACAGCATTAGTTCCATGATTACCTCGTTAGTTATCAGAAAGTTGCAATTTACAGAGATGATACATATCTTTAAAGACTTACTTGAGGCATAAAGTACATTAGCTTATTTTATTAAAATAATATTGTAAAATATTTTAAAATATTAAAATAAACAATGTTATTTTAGTTAAAAACAAAACTTTAAGTATTTATTATTCTTGGAACTGGTCAACGCATTTCTATTACAGTATGACAAAATATCCCCTAAATATCATGACAAGGGGGTAGATGCTTTTACTTTATTTTGTTAAATTAATTTTTATTGGAGTAGAGCTGTTTTACAACACTGTGTTAGTTTCTGCTGTACAGCAAAGTGAATCAGTTATATGTAAACATACATCTCCTCTTTTTCGGATTTCCTTCCCATTTAGATCACCATAGAGCACTGAGTAGAGTTCCCTGTGCTATACAGTCTGTTCTCATTAGTTATCTATTTTATACATTGTAGTGTATACATGTCAACCCCAATCTCCCAATTCATCCCCCCTCTTCCCTCCCGCCCGGTATCCATACATTTGTTCTCTACATCTGTGTCTCTATTTCTTATGCTTTTACTTTATAATGACAATCTGTCCTGGATTTGTGGAAAGGTGAGCATGAGAGGCCAAGGAAGCTTTTATAATGAGAAGAGAGGTGGCAGCTCTTCCCTCCTACCATGTGGGGATATTCAAAATGGCCAGAGAGAACACGAGCATTTTGGGGGAACATCCCAAGTTCAATACAATATATGGCTCAGTTGTCCAACTGGTTGTGAGCCCATAGTGAGATTCTACTTCCTGATTCCTAGTTCAGGAAACTTGCCTTTTTTTCTTACTCCACTACAGAAACTGTTCTTCCATTTTGGTTTTATATAATACGAACATTTACCTTAGCCATTTGTATATCTTATATAGCTTTGTGAGTCATCTTTGACTTTCTGTCTTTGGTGGTATCTCATTTAGGGAAGGGGCCACCATTGTTCACCACCTTCCTCCCCTCTCCCCCTGAGAGGAACACTGACCACGGCACATTCTCAATAATTTGATGGTTACGATGACAACAGTGCTAAAGAATTAGCTCCCAAAGGCACAGAACAAAAACTGTGAGCATTTCCAGGAGATGCAGGCAATTAGAAAAATGGCTCTACATATAAAGAGATTCATGAGGAAGAGACTTCTTTTCCAAAAGTTTATTGCCACCACTAGTAGAAAAATATTTGTAGTGGTAAGTAGAGCACACAGGGGGAAAAAAAAGCAGTTAATATGTTGTCAGACCAAAGAGAAAGGCAATTATAAAGGGCCAAAGACAGGCTGAGAAGACAGAGCATAAACGAAGTATTTAATTCATGCGTCTGCTGACTCATTTATTGATACACCGATGCAGTCACTTATAAATCAAATCCCACAGGCCAGGACTTAGCAGGTTCTGTGCTAGGTTCTGGGGATATAAAAATAACTGAGGCACAGTATTTGCCCTCACGGAACCCACATTATAATGGATAGTTATATAAACAGATAATGACAATAAAACGTAATAGCTATTCTAGCTGAGATATAAACAAAGTGATGTGAACACAAGGTGAGTAGCAAAGAGAGAAATTAGAAAAAAAAAAAGGAGGAGGTGCTGCTTCTCCTTCCAGAGACTTCTTGGGCAGTGGAATTGCTACACACGATTATATGAGTCAACACTGGGGCTGTAGGCCTGCCGGGACTGGTATGTATATTTTATGAGAATTAAATGTCTTCAAAGAGACACAAGGGCAGATGGTATACTGATCAGGACAATGCCATCCAAACAAAAACACGGAGCTCTTTCCTAAAAACTGCTCAGGTGGCCCATTCTCTGGATCCCCACCGTGCTTCCCTGGTCAGAGACATCCCCTGGCTCATGCCCTCCCTCCCACGGTCTCGTCATCTGGTTTGGCTCCTCCAAATCTATCCCGCATCTGGGTCAGAGTAATCTTCTCACTTTTTGGCTTAAACCCTTCAGTGGGGGTCCACTGCTCCTGAACAAAACCATCAACCTTTAGGTTTTAACACCCAATTCTGTGTTACCTGTTCCTACCTGTCCAGCCTCACCTGGCCCTGTGCCCACACCATGTTCCAGTCATGCCCGCCTCTTTCAGTTCTTCGCAAGTGTCCAGGCCTCTGCCCCAGAGCCTTTGTTGCCCTGGTCCCTCTGCTGGGAGCTCCTCTCCTCCCCTTTCTCTCTTGTTCTTCATGAACTTCCACTTGCTTTTCTGATTTCAGTTCCACCAGAAATCCCTCCGAGAAGCTTCCTCTCATCAACAAGGTCTTCCTCTCACAAGCTCACAGCATATTGGGTTGGACCAAATGAAGTCGCCATGTTCGTGTAGGTCAAAGCAGTCAAAACGGGCAATTTCTTATGGTTCAACCTAACACTCACTGTACTAGGTTCCTAGGACTGTTGTTAACAAATCATTATAAGATCAGTAGCTTAAAACACAAAAATTGATTCTCTTGGTGTTCTAGAGGCCAGAAGTGCTAAATCAGGGTACCAGCAACGCCACGTTCTCTCTGAAAGCGCTAGGGAAAAAATCCTTCCTTCACTCTTCCCAGCTTCTCAGCAGTCTTTGTTGTTCCTTGGTCTCTGTCATTGCTTAGCCCTCTTCCCTGTGTGTTTCCCTGTCTCTCTATCTGAATCTCCCTCTCCTTTCTCTTACAAAGACACCAATCATTGAAATTAGGGCTTGCCCTAAAGCAATATGATCTTAACTGATGACATTTGCGAAAATCTAATTTCCAAATAAGGTCCCATTCTGAGGTTTCTGGTAGACATCGATTTTGGGGGGACACTATGAAACCCACTACATAGAGCATTATTTGAACTTAATAGTGTATGACCTGAAACTCTATATCTGTTCTTCCTGAGACTGTGAACTCTTGGAGCACAGGGATCGTGTGGGAATTTTTCACTATTCCGTATCCGGGGCCTGTCACAATATTTGACCCAAAGGAAGTTAAACAAATATTTGTGGAATAAGTAATTAGACAGATCAGATGGCAGAACTAAACTCTCCAGCAGATAACTGGGAAATAAAAGAAAGGATTTTAGGTATATTCTAAAGGATGGAGAGACAAGCAGAAAATATCTTTCCCAGTTGAATAAATTTGTTAGTGTGAAATATCGGTGTCCCTAGATTCACAGAACAGAA